GGGGGGCAAGGGGCAGCAGGGCTGGGGGGTAGGGGCTTTGGGTGGGGAGCAAGGGACACAAGCAGGGCATCCTGCAATGTACCCCCTGCCCTTATTTTGTTTTTCTGGCATGCCAGCACTCCGGCACCTTCCAAGGCAGGCATTGTGGGTTTTTTCAGCGCTCCGACCAAAAAACGTTGCCTACCCCTGAAGTACGATATAGACACTAAATAACATACCAAAAAATGTAACAGTACACAGGGACCATACGCAAAAACACACTCACTGAGATCAGTCCATGACCCAAAGATCTTATGTTCTAAAAGACAAAACATAGTGGGTGGTTGAGACAAACAGACGAATAAGGAGGCAGTGTTTAAAAGGGTCATCTTAATAATTGAAACATTAGTAAAAATGGTTTGATTTCTTCATCTTTGAGGGTAAAAAGTCATTTTAATACATTGTATTCCTAGTAGAAAAGTTTCCTGCCTTTGAAATTAGGTCAGTGCAAACATAACAGTTTGTAAGACAAATTATAAAATGCCTGCCTGTATGCAAAGCTGATTTGCTAATGCATATGATGCTCTTCTGCTTACCTATCCTGTCATGGAATTACTTAGTACTTCATTATTCCATGTTGTATCAGACCTGTGGTGTTTGGTGATTAGTCAACAAATTCAGAAAAAGGATTAAGAAACCCTTTGGTGGTCAGATGTGGGACAGTCTAGCTCCATACAAGTCTCATGTTCACTTGTAATAGGTTTACTTAATACCTGAAGCATGAGGTTTTATGTCTTATCCAAAACTATATTTTGCTATTTTTAACTATTATAACTTGCAGTGTTTTTGTTATACATACTAATGTCTGGTGTGTCTCTGAATTTTGCTGAATTCTTGGATTGAAAAACAATACATGATAACAATTTCTACAGTTTAATCATGTTTATGTGAAAAAGTGTTTGCTTTAATCAGTTTTGTATTTTCCACCTTTAGTCATCATAGAATGTTCCCATGTTCTTGTTTTGGACTGAGAAACAGAAGTTCCTCATCTATTTTCTCTATCCTATTCATTATTTATGTTAGGGTGATAATGGCCCATCTTAGTTGTCCCTTTCTTGCATTAGTCAACAATGAATTTCATCAGTCCTTGGTGCTGTTCCCTTGAAATGCTTTAGTCTCTTTTGGGCTTGACTTAACCTATATAACATTGTTTTTAGTAAATGTTGCCTTATCATAACTCCCCCTCTTTCCAGATTGCTAATAAATATATGCAATGGTACAATCTTGAGGCAGCCACTGCTAACATCTACAGAGCCTGAAGATGGCAGGTGTGCACTTGAGTGCAGATGTAGATCAGGCCCTGCCCCTTTTCAGAAGGGGAAGTGAAGGACACGTGTAGAGACCCAGTGTTGTTTGGGCAGAGGAACTCCCACGCTCATCTCTGAGCCTGGCTAGGTTGACTACAGGCACGAAAATAGTGTTGAGCCAGTGCCAGAGCATGGACAGGATGAGCTTCTTCTAGTGTGAAGGAGTGACTCGGGAACAGGTAGACCCTCCCTGCCCCCAAATAAAGCACAGGCCCATACTTTACCAGATAGCTTGGAGTGCTGGCAGGAGCAAACCTATCTACCATCCACCATTAGGCCACAGCTCTTGATCCAGTTGACTATGAGAGAGGGGGCTGTTGAGGAGGTAGATTGTTGCGCAGGCCTCTACCTGCACCAGTTTGGGTCCTGGGTGGCAAGGAGCACATTGTTAGTGTAAATCAAGACCACATACCCATCAACAATTTTCATAGGAGACAGAGCAGTTGTGGGCAGTTATTTTGACTGGAGGTCCGCTTAATGAGTTTTGGTGAGCTGTTGAGGGCTGCAAGGGTATGTCCCATGTCAAACTGCTAAGCCCCACCTCTTGACAGGTGCCCACCCCCTGGCTACCATCTTGGAACCAAAAGTCCCTCCCCCTAGCCTGTGACCTTTGCCACTGGAAGTCCCTCCCTTTTCCCTGAAAGTACTCTGTGCCTGTCTCGCTTTGAAAATCCACTCGTGTGCCGCCTTGGCGTGGGTACCTGGCGATGGACGCAGAGAGGCTTCATGTGACCTCTGGCAGGGACCTCGGTTTCCCCAGGGAGTACCCCAGAACTCACCTGCCAAGTCTTTGAATGTAAGCTCAGTGGTGGGGTTTCCTGTTGGAGGCCCCTCAGGATCAGTCGTTCTTTCTGATGGATATTCATGGAGCTCCACCTCCCCTACACCCCTTCCATACGCCAGCCTTAGATGGGCCGCCTGTTGTCAATGTGGCTTGCCCTCTGGTCTTGATGGTCTGTTCTTGTCACTCTTTCTCAGGTACCTGGTCCTATTTTCTTCTGCCTAACAGACTTTGGGTCCTTAGGATGTTCACCTCTCCTACAGTTCTTCCCTTCACGCTCGATGCTATTGACGCCTGATTCCTGCGCACGGTCCTTGTGGCTCGTTTTGTCCTCTGGACCTCATGGCTCCAGGTTACTGCTCAAAGCAAGAACAAGGAAACGAAATGAAAAAACAACATGGTGTGATACGCCAGTAAGAGGAGACAAAAGAAAACAGGACACAACAAAATAAAAAAGAGGGCAAATAGAAAAGAGGGAGATCAGGATACACAGTCCTCCTTCTCTCCCTGTCCTGGAGCCAGTGCCTGGCTGCGTCCCCTGACGCTGCTCCCCTCTCTGTCTCCGGAGGGAGCTCCCTTTGCTCCTCTCCTGGTCAGCTTGCCTCCTGGTTTGCTCCTCTCCTGGCATGCAGCTGGAGCCTGGGGTGTGGAGCTGCCTTCTCCTCTGCTGCTTTCACTGCTAGTTCCTGGATGAGGCTTCCTCTGGCAATCCGGTGCAGCCCGTGAGGGCTTTAGGCAGCTGCTGCTGCCTGGATCATCCCTCCCTGATCGGGATCTCCCTCTACTTGC